TGACCACGGAAACGTCTTCGGACAGCGCTGGCTCTTCGGCTTTGAAACGGAGATTAGCACCGCAATCTAGAGTCAGATTCGACTGGCTTTCGAGCCAGGGAACCTTTACCTTTACTAGCTTAACCAAGAAAGGTTCTTTTTATTGAAGGAGGAAATAATAAAGTAACATGCGTACAGAAATAAATGTATTCTGGGAAACACATGCACAAGCTAATCAGAAATGCAGGAAGGAACAGGAACAGAGGGAGGTTTTTGGGGGAAATTATAATTACCAGTCCAGAAGAGCAGAGGTCTATGGAGGAGGTTGTGAAATGAACCAGCGTTTCACGGAGATGGAAAGGAACCCAAACAGATTTGGGGGTGAGTCATCAGTAGGCGCCCAAGACACACACATACTGCATGGGACAGTACATGTCCAGTTATATGGCAAAATGCTACCTGGGGGCATGCTGACATGAGTGCCCCTAAAATAATATCCTGATGGGATTCTCTAGAAGTGATACTGTGTGTTGGGGAAAGGCTGAAAGTGTTTCCAGGAATGGACAAAGACCTGGGAAAGCTCGTGATATTTTGCTTGGGTTTAGCTAATGGTGCTTGATGGGTGTGTCCGGGCTAAAGTGAAAGTGTTAATGGTTTTCCGATTAGGTTGCAGACTGTAATGATTTGCTCTAATGATCCTACCAGCACAGGATGGGAGAGGCTATCAGGGTATCTGAATAGCCTGCTGATTAAGGCGAATAAGGAGGAGGAAGCATGACCGGGTGTTGTTTCCCCGAGAAGCCCACTGATGAGATTAAGTGCTTCTGTTTAGGGTGGGGAGAGATCTATTAGTAAGTCCAAGCCAAGATAGTCACCTTCCCAAGATAGTTTCTCAGGCTTGTCCCTTACTAGCGTCCATTTTGTTTGTTCCAGCTCCATCTTGGTCCCATTTCCAGGCCAGGCTGTACAGCACATATGATTTTGGAGGGGATAATTAAAGAGGGGCTACTTAAATAAGCCTACCCTTCCACAAGAGGGGTCTGGGTGCTAACAGCACCACCCACACACCATTAATCCTATCATTGCAGCCCTAAGGACTACAACCTTTAAAGAAGAATTTACAAAGTGCTGAAGTCTGGGGGACTTCTCATGGCTTCTTCACACTGTGGAATTTCCAAGTAATGGACTGGCAATGCAGTCCGAAACCAAGTCTCACCCTTCTAAGTCCACTGATGTCATGGGGCTTTGATGGGTGTAACTCTGCTTAGGATGGCACTGTGGGATTCTTATTGGCCAGAGACGGTGTCTTCTTTTCAGCGCTGGCTTGGTAACGCAGAAAGGAATATTTTTTCACATTAGGTGGAGTACAGGAAGGGACAATGAATTATCTTCAGCATGCGTTGGTTTTTTAAAATTCCTAAATAGCAGTTATGGCAGGCACTGATTTGCATCAGGGCTGTGGGATGGTGGGGGGGAGAGAAAGAGATTTAATTTTTTCTCTTGCTCAGCCCTACCCAATCTCAAATAGTCCCCCAGGGTTACTATTTTCTCCGGGGGGTGGGGACAACAACAACATAGAGTTTCCCTTTATATTGCTTGTCTATTTCCCTTAATGGGGCAAACAGGAGCTCTGGAGGGGAAGAGGGGATATTTGAGAAAGAAGCATGGGGGGAAGATAACCTGCCCAGCACCTTCCTCTGTGCCATGGGTCTAATTTGAGCCCATGCCTATGCTAATTGAAAGAGTTAGAGATGCATTTAGATTAAGGTCGTCTTTTCAGCTCTGGGATGGGAAATATCGGGAGATTTTGGTGGTGGAGCTTGAGGAGGGCAGGTTATAAGGCCATAGAGTACACCCTCCAACGCGGCCGTTTTCTCCGGCTGAACTGATTTCTGTTGCCTGGAAATCAATTGTAACAGCTGGAGATCTCCAGCCACCCCCTGGAGGTTGGCAGCCATAGATGCAGGTTGGCAACGGAGAATAAGTGGATGCCATAGAGGCCACCCTCTGAACCTGCCATTTTCTCCAGGGGAACTATCCCTGTAGTCTGGAGACCGGGTATAATTCCAGGTAGGGTTGCCAGTTCCGAGTTGGGAAATACCTGGCGATTTTGGGGGTGGAGCCTGAGGAGGGCGGGGTTTGGGGAGTCCAGTACAGATGACTCCCCCCCCACACACACAAACGTATGTTGACACACTGCACAGGGGAAAAGAGCAATCAAGAGCTCACTCACTCCACCACCACTGCACAATGGCCTGGTCCCCTGCAGAATGTGACCGTGCAGAAGAGGTGGCCACGTGCACACCCTTCCTTGCACTCTGAAAGCAGTTGCACTGTTCATGGGGGGGGGAGCATACCTGTGGCCCCTTCCTCCACATGGACTGGTGCCCTCTCTTCTTCCCTGCAAAGTGAAGCAATATGGGGAGGGGTGGTTGTCTGCAGCGATTCCCCGTACTTCGTGGCACCATAGTAGCCAAGCGGCACAACAATCCAACAGTAAGTACTGCGTAAAAAGCTATTTACATCATTATAGAGATTTATTTCACAGTGCTGACACCAAACTTGACATCCTAAGTAAGGAATCAGTGAAAGGTGTTCACGCATCCCATAGTACAAGTTCAGATAATTACACAATAAGTCGGCAGTATAGAAGTCTAACTCGACAGTCATTTACCAAGAAATGTAATTCTAGACTGCAACCGAAATGTGAAAGGGCTAGTCTTGAAGAAGAAAACTTCGAAACGGGAGTAGAGCTGGCACCCCATCCTATCAACATTTCTTTGTTGATTCCTATGAAGATTCACAACATTTCTCTGTAAATTACTACCAAGTTGGACTTTTAAACTGCTGACTTATTGTGTAATTATCTGAACTGGTACTATGCGATACGTGAATACCTCTAACTGATTTCTTACTCAGAGCAAGAGTCCAGGTCTACCTTAAAGACTAAAAAACTTTGTGGCAGGGGATGAGTTTTTGTGAGTCACTGCTCACATCTGAAGACGTGAGCAATGACTCACAAAAGCTCCTACCCTGCCATAAATGTTGTTAATCTTTAAGGTGCTACTGGACTCTTGCTCTTTTCTACTGCTTTGTTCAGTCGCACAGTCGAGTCCGACTCTTCGCGACCCCATGGACCAGATCACGCCAGGCCTTCCGGTCTTCCGCCGTCCTCTGAAGTTTGCTCAACTTCATGTTCGTTGCATCTATGACACTGTCTATCCATCTCATCCTTTGCCGTCCCCGTCTTCTTTGACCTTCAATCTTTCCCAGCATCAGGGTCTTCTCCAGTGAGTGCTCCCTTCACATTTAGTGGCCAAAGTATTTGAGCTTCAGTTTCATTATCTGGCCTTCCAGGGAACAGTCAGGGTTGATTTCTTTTAGGATTGACTGATTTGATCTCCTTGCAGTCCAAGGGACTCTCAAGAGTCTTCTCCAGCACCCTAGTTCAAAAGAATCTATTCTTCGGCGCTCGGCCTTCCTTATAGTCCAACTTTCACAGCCATACATGACTACTGGGAATACCATTGCTTTGACCATGCGGACTTTTGTTGGCAGGGTGATGTCTCTACTTTTTATCATGCTGTTTAGGTTCGCCATCGCTTTCCAAGGAGCAAACAGACAGACTAACACGGTGACCCATCTTGATTTCTTACTTAGGATGCCACGTTTGGTGTCAGCGCTGTGAAATAAATCTCTGTAACGATGCAAATGGCTTTTTACATGCTAGTCTGGAGCAACGTACCTAGTACTAGCTGTTGGATTCCCTGTGCTTGCCAGGTGACCCAACAGAGGAGCCATTATTACCTCTGCCTGGCTTTTGTGTGCTTGTGGGCTGCCACCTTATGTATCAAACATAGTGAATAAATAGGTGGAACCCCGTTTGGAAAGCAAGTGACCTTCTTGGTGAATTGTGTTCCAGGCCCACCCCTTGTTTTCCACTCTGGACAATAAAAGCCAAAGGAAAAGGCAGGGATACCTCCCCGACCCTGCTTGTAACCTTCTTCTGTCCTCCTGCAGATCTCGTTCTCATGGAGAGACTAGATTACCAGTCGCTTTCTGTGGAAACCTTCACCTATCACGGGGAGCAGAATTTGGTGATTGCCCAGCCCTTTATCGGACGCTGCATCTTCCTGGAGTGGGACCACGTGCAAGGGAAATTCCGCAGCTATGCCAACATCACCGGTGAGCTGGCCCAGCGGCGGCCAAAGAATTCTACCCTACGCTTTTGAGGAAGAGATAAGCGAGCAAATTCTGTTGTGCTGCACTGACCAACAGAACTGAACAATGGTCCCAACTAGGGTAGCCAACTCCGGGTTGGGAGATTCCTGGGGATTTGGGGTGGAGCTTTGAGGGGGGCAGGATTTGGGGATGGGAGGGACCTCAGCGAAGTACAACGCCATAGAGTCCATCCTCCAAAGTGGCCGCTTTCTCCAGGGGGGAGCTGGTCTCCGTCGTCTAGAGATCAAGTGTAATTCCGGAGGATCTCCAGCGCCTCCCACAGGGGCCAGCAAGCCTAATCCCATATTAGGGTGTGATGATTTTTTTTGGAATGTAATATTCTTAATAAATTGTAGTGGTTTTCTCATAAGTATTTTGAATAGTTTGAGATTCTCATCCTGTACTATTTATAATAACTAGACTGAGCCTTCAGTAAATATTTCTGTACACTTCTTTATTTCATTGTCTTTGCACACAGTAGTTGTGCTTTGTTTGTACCACCTGGAGATTGGCAACCTAAGCTGCCATGTCCTCCCTGCCCAGCGACAAGGATTTTTTTTTTTTTAGGGTTTTCAACTCCAGGTTGGAAAACCTCTGGAGGTTTGGGGGTCATGGCTGCGAAGGACAGGGACCTCAGTGGGCTGCAATGCCATAGAGTCCACCCTCCAAAGCAATCATTTTCTCCAGGGGAATGTATCTTTTGTAGTCTGGAGATGAGCTGTAATTCTGGGGGATCCCCAGATCCCACCTGGAGGCTGGCATCCCTAATCCCATATGCATGTACTTTGCAGGTCTTCTCCAGAGCTGACACTAATAAATAAAGTGACCAATCCTTTTTTTTTTATTTTACCTTAACAAGCATACAACAAACACATATTGTACATTCTATAGGTAAACCTATGAATTGAACAAAGGAAAGAATAGCATTGCAGAAATAATTAATCTGATAATATTGACAGTTCAAAAATGTGCTAGCATACTCTAATATTGCTTTGACCGCAACGCTTCTTTTAATGTGTCATTGCACGTCAAGTATTCTAACACCAGAAACCATTGTTCCACAAATTTGGAGTTATAATGAATAGTCTCTGACAATGAAACTTGATCTGTTATCTCCTTCATTATAA